CCGAAAAAGTAGTAGGGCGCAGTATGCGCCATTTGGACGGTACCGTCTTTGACGCCATCCACCACACCAAACGGAGGCATGAGTTCGCCAGCAGGATGGGTGCTGATTTCAAATTTGCCGCCAGACATGGCTTTGACTTCGCGTGCCATGACTTCGGCAGCACCCCAAATGGTGTCCAAATTCTTGGGAAAGCTAGAAGCCAGACGCCAGCGTATGGCCGACTGGGCATGTACCGCAGGTGCAACACCAGCAGCCAAGATGCCAGCAATACCGGCATTTTTGATAAGAGAGCGACGATCCATTAGTAAATCTCCTGTAACTATAAGGTAACTTTTCTTACCTAAAATTTGCACAACACAGAAAAAACTCAATAAAACAATAAGTTATTTTTGATGCTTCATCCTGCAACGATTATTTTAATCAATTTTTGGGACTATTTGGCGCGTAAAAATACTAACAAGGGTTATCCCCTAGTAATAAAAAACTGGACATTTATAAGACCAAAGGTCAAGCTTGGGCAAAATGTACGTTCAGGGAGTGCTTAAAAGCTGCGGTAGCAGATTCGTGCCAACCTTCTACAGGTGCGGCGCTAGAAGGTCTTGGGGTACATGCCAAGGCAATATGGCCTTGACCAGCCAACAGCCCCGAAGTGGCGTCAAACCCTATCCAGCCTGCTCCTGGTAAATATGCTTCATACCATGCGTGCAAGTCGCTGCTGCGAGTCGCGGTTTGATTTATGTTGCTAGACAACTCTGTAGAAGGTTGCTCTATCAAATAGCCTGATACAAAACGCGCAGCAACCCCAAAATGGCGAAGTATTTGCACACCGAGCCAAGCGCTGTCGCGACATGAGCCACTTTTCTTTTGTACGGTTTGGGCAGGCGTTTGAACGCCATGCTCCATGCGTTGGGTGTAAGCGATATCGCGATGCAATTTTTGGTTAAGTTGCACCAGAAAATCCAAAGTAGAGAGGTTTTGTGTGGCTATGCTTTTTAAATACTGCTGAAAAGCTGGTTCGTGGTTAGGGTCTAGCAATAAATAGGGCGCAAGATCCTGTGCCAAAACGGCATCGTAGAAAAAAGGAAATGCAATTACACTGGGTTCAAGGAAAAAATCAAAAGGATTAAAGGCTGATAATTGCGCTTTAAGGCGAACTGTGAGCTTGAATTCAGAAGATTTTGCACTAAACACCAAACGAGCCATGTAATTGGCAAAAGCATCTTGTTGCCAGTAAAAATAATGGTGCGCGGGTTGCGCCTCTAAGGAGTAGGAAAGGATATGGGTATGGCTGTGCGGGGCAGGGCGCAGCCGTACAAGCTGCGGCCCTAGTAAAACGGGTTGGTCATACTGATAATGGGTAACATGCTCTAAAGTAGCAATGAGGTTGGGTGAATTTGCAGTTGGCAATGTATAAACCTTTAAGCTTATTCTCCCAAGTAGGCAGCGCGTACTTTGGGGTCTTGGAGCATGTCTTTGGCTATTCCAGTGAGGGTGATTTTGCCTGAGTCCATGACATACCCACGGTCTGCCACAGAAAGCGCGCGACTGGCATTTTGTTCTACCAAAACCACAGTAACTCCTTGGTTGTACACCTCTTTAACAACTTCAAATATTTTATCCACCATTATGGGGGATAAGCCCATGGAAGGCTCATCAAGCAACAGCAGGCTCGGGCGACTCATCAAGGCACGTCCCATAGCCAACATCTGCTGTTCACCTCCGCTGAGGGTGCCAGCCAATTGGTCTTTGCGCTCTTGTAGGCGTGGAAAGGTGGCAAACACTTTTTCAATATCGCTTTGTATACCTGCGTGGTCGTTACGGATATAAGCGCCCATACGCAAGTTTTCCAAAATGGTCATGCGGGTAAAAATGCCTCGTCCCTCAGGTACCATGGCCAAACCTTGTTTTACCAAATCCCAGGCACCTTGTTTTTTGATGGATTTGCCTTTGTAGAGGATTTCCCCCCCTTGGATGTTGAGCCCCCCAGTGATGGCTTTCATCGTGGTGGTTTTGCCTGCCCCATTGGAGCCAATTAAACACACCAATTCGCCTTGGTAAACCTTGAAGTCCACCCCTTTAACAGCCTGTATACCGCCGTATGAGACAACCAAGTCTTTAATTTCCAATAGTGGAGTATCTAAGGGATTTGAGACAGCAGAGCTGGTTTGATTTTCAGCGCTGCTCGTCGATTGGTTATTTGTTGATTGGCCTGGCGTATGCTGCGCTGCGCCTACTTCTATTAGAGTTTCGGTTGTCATCGTTAGTGGCCTCCAGAGCCCAGATAGGCTTCGATTACTTTTTCATTTCTTTGAACCTCAGCGGGTGTACCCTCAGCAATTTGTTTGCCATAGTCCAAAACGGTGACGCGGTCGCACAATCCCATGACTAGCTTCACATCATGCTCAATGAGCAAAATGGTGCGGTTATCTTTGCGAATTCGGTCTATTAACTCACGCAGCTGTACTTTTTCAGTGGCATTCATGCCCGCTGCGGGCTCATCCAAGGCTATGAGTTGCGGGTCGGTGGCCAATGCTCTGGCTATTTCCAAACGACGCTGGTCTCCATAGCTCAAGGTGCGTGCCTTGTAAGGCGCGTACTGACCAATGCCAACGTAGTCGAGCAATTCTTGGGCTCGCTTGGCTATGGCCTTTTCCTCAGCCTTAAAGCCGCTCGTACGCAGTATTGCGCCTACCAAACCAGAGCCAGTGCGCACATGTCTGCCTACCATGACGTTTTCCAAGGCGGTCATTTCAGGAAAGAGGCGAATATTTTGAAATGTACGGGCAATACCAGCCTTGGCGACCAAATGCACCGCAGTGGGCTGGTAGGGTTTACCGCCCAACTCAAAGCTGCCGCTATCGGGTGTATAAAGACCAGTTAACACATTGAAAAAAG